AAACCCCAAACCCTACAGCCCTAAAGCCCGAAAGCCATAAATAACTCTCAAGTTCTAAGCTCGCGCAGTCCAGATCTTGACTCGCAGAGCTGTAAGCCGACGCAAAGATAGCTATGGCCCCTTTGTTTCGGGTTGACCACGGTTTAGGGTTTAGGGTTTAGGGTTATGGCCCGTTGGTTTCAATTTCGGGTTGAGGAGTTTAGGGTACTTATAAAGGCCGCTATACTACACCCTTATAGTATCCCTTATATATACTAATAGTAACCCTTCTATAGTATCCCTTATACTAGTAGTAACCCTTACAAGGAACCCTTTAAAGGAAGCCGATTCAGATTGTCAGAGCAGTGGGGTTGAGGCTTGAAGTTCGCTGCAGGCAAGGCATCCATGACCTGACATTTGATGAATTCGGTCTCGTGCCATCACGGGTTTAGGGTTTAAGGTTTAGGGTCTACGGTCTCGATCCTTTTCAGCCAGCCGCGGACTCTGTCAGAGCTCTCTCATGGCTGCTGTAAAGGCCAGAGAGGGTTCCCTCATTGCAGTCCCGTAGACTCCGCGAGGTCCACATGCTGGCGCCCTAAACCCTAAACCCTAAACCCTAAACCCTAGCGCAAGCCGATCCTGCAGCGTGAGCTTCCCGTGCAATTATCGTCCTGCGCCCAACTTCGCCATGGACGTCATCGAGAATGCTGCACCCCCAAACCCTAATCTACATATTCAAAGCCCTTTGACCCTAAACCCTAAACCCTTTAGGGTTTAGGGTTTAGGGAAAGCCCTAATAACCTTAAGCCTTTAGGGTTTAGGGTGTAGGGTTAAAGGAACCCCTTTAAGCCGCCAAGGAGCGCTCTTCCAACGGCTCACCCCGAAGTTTACTTTCTACCAGTTGGGGCGTCCTAAACCCTAAACCCTAGGCCCTAACCCTCAACCCTAAACCCTTAACCTCTCTACCATTTAGGGCGTGCTAAACCCTAAACCCTAAACCCTACACCCTAAACCTTTCTACCATTTAGGGCGTGCTAAACCCCAAGCCCTAAATACCATTTAGGGCTTCGGAGTCGAAGGTGTTAGGGGCTTAAGGGGTTTAGAGTTTAGGGTTCAGGGTTTAGGGTCTAGGGTTTAGGGCTTAAGGTTTAAAGTTGAGGGTTTAGGGTTCAGGGTTTAGGGGCTTTCGGGGCTTAAGGGCTAAGGGTTTTAGGGCTCAGGGCTTGGAGGCTTTAAGGGCTTTCCAAGGAGTTTGGCTTAGCGGTTACGGTTTGGGGTTCAGGGTTGAGAGTTTAGGGTTTAAGGGTAGAGGGTTGAAGGAGTTTAGAGTTTCGGGCTTGCAGTTTTTTCGTGGGGTTCAGGTTTAGGAATATCGGGTCTTGACTATCAGAAGCTGAAAGCTTTCAACCTCCTCCTTGAAGCTCCACTTCTGGGCCTAAACGCCCAACCTTTCGACGTCGGGTGCAGGGTCTAGGGCTTAGGGAGCCCCAAACCTTTCGAATGGACAGCCAAGTAGCGTCAGCACGCCCAACACCGCGTAGTTCGTCACCTGAGAGGGTTCCGAAGAGGAAATCCAGCAAAAGAACAACGAGGGACCCCCAAAGAGAGACCCAAGTAGTTCCCGTCAGCCCTAAACACTACTTAGAGGATCATGGGACTTAGTAAGTAAGGTTATAAGTCCCCTAGTTGGGGTTAAAAGTATAGTTACCTTAGTTATAACCCTACTTACTAAGTCCCATGATCCCGTAAGTAAACCCTAAACCCTAAACCCCCTAAACCCTAAACTTCCTTGGAAGCTCCACTGGGGTTTCGGAGTGTTGGGGGGGTTGGGGGGTTTCGAGGCTGGTCCGAAATCGCACATCCCAACATCCCGATGTTCTCGCGCGATGTTTAGAGTTTAGGGTTTAGGGTTTTAAAGGTGTCTAAACCCCAACCCCCTAAACCGTAAGGTTCAAGGGATCTGTCGGGCTGCTTTAAGGGTCCCTTTAAGGGATGTATGGGGTTCCTGGGTGTTCGGAGCACGTGCAAAGGAGCCGACTTCACGAAACCTGAAACGACCCCACCAAGACGAGAGCAACATCGAAATCTCTTTGACGGCCAGTGAGAAGCCCCCATGAAGATCGGGGAAGTTCGTGCTAACTCCCTACAAGAGGAGGCCAGTCTCGAACACCCCCCCCGAAGTCGGAGGAGGGTTTTCAGCTTTAGGGTTTAGGATTTAGGGGTTTGGGTTTAGGGTTTAGGGGTTTAGGGTTTAGGACTACCCCCAAAGTCGGATGAGGGTTTTAAGGTTGAGGGATTAGTCGCATGCTTACATCCCACAGAACCTTCGAAACGGAACCTAGCGGGCCTAGTATAATCGCCAGACAAGAATCGAAGCGGATTCTAGGCTTTCTGAGCCAGAGACAAGATTGGGGGTTGAGAGGAGATACAGCCTGAAAATTTACCGATATCATTCCTTGGGGCCCCCTATTATTAGTCTACTATATAATGCACGTCAGCACCCTATAGTATACTATATATTGCATAATGTACCTCAGCACCCAATTCTAATTAGTGAGGTGCCTAGAATACCCAGGCCCCAATGCAGGGGCCTTAATACTTACCTACACTATTTTGAAGGAAGGCCGAGCGCTGTTGCCGTCCAGTCTTCGAGCCAGACATTACACTATTACACCATTGAATCGTAGCTCTGCCCTCTATTTGCCATGTGCATGCTGCCGCTGTACCGACCAGGCTCTTTAGAACTACCAGACGGACTCCCTCGAGCGATCTCTTGGGCTTTCCCTCGCGCAGGGTTGAAATCGTACTGTCCAGCGCTGCTTCCGCCACCGGGTCTCAGACGGTAATTCATCGCACGTTACGAGTGTGCTGCGCGCCGGCTTCTGCCCTGATTTCAGGGGGTGGAGCCAAACGAGATCCTTGGTCAGGCCCAAGCAGAAGTGCAAGGGCCTTCCGCCCGGCACCTCCAGTTCTTGTCTCTTCCGCCGCTCACGACGTTCGGTTTCCGAGTCGTCGGCGTACTCTGTCTCCAGCCATTCCGCCGACCTAGGCCCGTCGTACTGTTGTACTACTTATTATAGTTACAGTATATTATAACCCAAAACCCTGTTCTAATTATTCAAGCCCCCAAAATATTATCCAGCAAGACCCCATCCGGCGCCAGGTTGCGAAATACTGGTCCTCACCTTCCGGCACCGCGAAGTCGTAGGGTCCTCTAGGACGCAGTTTACTAAACCCCAAAACCCTAAACCCTAAACGTTAAACCCTAAACCCACAACCCCAAAACCCCAAAACCCAAAACGCTAACGTCTAAAGCCCCAAACCCAAAACCCTGAGCCCGGTTTGGGGGTTTCCGAAAATAGGGGACCATAATATAATACCCTAAATAATAGGATCCCTATTATAAGGACCCCAAAATAAGGTACCCCAATTTTCTGAAACTCCCGTTTAGGTTAGGGCACAGGTTTCGGGACCTGGAGCCTCAAGGGGATTAGAGCTGAGTGGAGGTCCGTGGGAAGTCAGGGTTTAGGTTTTAGGGTTGAGGGTTTAGGGTTTAGGGTTAAGGGTTTAGGGTTTAGGGTTTAGGGTTTAGGGGTTTAGGGTTTAGGTTTTAGGGTTGAGGGTTTAGAGTTTGGCTATAAGTTATAAGTCCCTACAAAAAGGTAGTATGGGGCTCTATAATAGGGTCCCCTTTCAAAGGGTACTCTGGGGCTCTATGATAGGATCCCCTTAATGGGTTATGATCATAGTTACCTACAACTCCACTTATCACCCTACTTATAACTCTACTTATAAACCTCCAGGTAGTGGAGGTTAAGGTTCAGGATTTGGTCATGTAGGGGCCTTAATAATAATTAGAGTAGGGTTTTGGGGTATATTATACTATAACTCTAGAAAGGAACCACCAAAATAGTATGGGTAATTTTTTAAAGGCCACTACGGTAGCGGAGGTTGGGGTTCGGGATTTGGTATGAGTTCGAGCCTGAGGTTGGGTAGACAAGTAGGGTTTCGAACTGTTTCAGGGCATGTGGGGTCCTAAACCCCCCGAAACCCGAGACCCCCTAAACCCGAAACCCCCCTAAACCCGAAACCCCCGAAACCCGAAACCCCCTAAACCCGAGACCCCCTAAACCCCGAAATCCCCCTAAACCCCAAACCCACTAAACCCAAAACCCCCTAAACCCCCAAACCCCCCTAAACCCGAAACCCCCCTAAACCCAAAACCCACTAAAACCCTAAACCCCCTAAACCCAAAACCCACTAAAACCCTAAGAGGCTTCGGGCTTAGGGATGGGTGAAGGCCTCGTAGGTTCGAAGGGGGAGTTCGCCGGAGATTGTGGGCTTCTAAGAGAAGGGTTTAGGGTTCAGGGTTT